GCCCTAAAAAGCAAGGCAAGTCCCTGCACCTAAACCCTACACCCCTAAATCCGAAGCCCTAAAAAGCAAGGCAAGTCCCTGGACCCTAAACCCTACACCCCTAAATCCGAAGCCCTAAAAAGCAAGGCAAGCCCTAAAAAGCAAGGCAAGTACCTGGAGAAGGTCATCTCCTCGCTGATCAAGATGTTCTCGGCGAGTGTAGGGCTGCAGCAGCCGAGGGACTCAGACGAGTTTGTTAGGTTTTAGGGCAGTGGCAGTGGTATTAGGGTCGAGTGCTTTGGGATGAGGGTTTAGGGCTTTGGGTGTAGGGTTTAGGTATTTAAGGCTTTTCAAGGCTTCGGAATCCGGGGTCCATCCTTCTTCGGGCTCTTCGGTCTCTTCGAGATTAATGGGCGGTTTTGGACTTGGTGTTGCTTTGTCTTTGGAATGTTGGGCTCTGTTGTTCCTTCGGTGTTTCGGTCTAGGACATTTTCAGGTGGATAGTTACCGTTATAGGAGCCTTATAAAAGGTCTATATACCTTATAGAAGCCTTATAGAAGCCCTGTATGCCCTAAACTAGTTTCCGTTAATTCGGGCTGTCTTTGCGTAACGATGGCAGAGGGCTTCAGCGCTTGTTTGGCCGGACCTGAAGCCAAGAACCGGGCAATTGAAATTCCAGCAACCCACGCGCTCCTACCCTTAACCCCAAACCCTAAACTCGCGCACTTGATGTCCAACCCGGCATGCGGAGAAAGGGCCGCTGCGCTTTCAAAACAACACGCGTCCCTACCCTTAACTCAGAGGAAGCAGAACCCCATTAGGTTCGCAACTTTGGTGAACCTCCCCGAGAAGTCCGCCGTAAAGTCCAGCGAGTCGCATGTTGTCCATGCTCACGGGCGCGGGTCTCGGACAGTGCATGGGGTTCAGGCATTCGGGGTTTAGTCTGAACCCAACTGTTCATCTGGCAGTCCGGCTTCAGGAAACGGTCCAACACGTCTTGCCAAAAAATCTTTATAGCACACAGACGGGCCAAAGCACCCCAGCCAATTCCTTCAGCCCTGCAGACTTGAATTTCGGAAATTGTTCGATTCAACCCTGAATTGAATTTAAAAAATGGTTCTTACTAAAGCCGAACCCTTAAGTCTTACTTCCAAGTCGAATTACTATCTCGACGGAGCACAGAATCCCGGAATTCGGCCAGTGCACTGCCGGAATCATCCTTCACAAACTCGACCGATGCTGAATTCATGATTTTTCGGCATGATCCACGTCATGGTTCAGGGATGTGGGGACGTTTGTACACGACATGCCCCAGACGTGTTTGCGAGGAGGCTTGTCCAGTCAGCGCATGGTGCTTCTGCCCGGTAAGCCCTGTGCGTCGGCGGTTTCGTGGTGACGGTACTTCCACGAACATTAACCAGCGGTATAAGTAGCACACTAGCTCATATAGAACTGTCATAGCAACTCCGAGTATGAAGACGAGCCATAGCATTTGCAGAACTGAGCATGGTTTGCAGTTGGAAGCATGTCGCTCTGGGTGGCTGCAACAACAGCAACTGCCAACCACGTGGTTGTTGTTCTGAAATGTTAATGTGTATACCATCACCTATGTCATGCTTGTCACGACCATTAACATCATTATGACCGCAATCATCACTGCCACCATCTTTCTCTTCAGGCGCAGCAGCAGCGGCAGAAGCATGTGCATGACCATCGCTACCATCGCCGCCGTCGTCGTCATCATCATCACCACCATCACCATGACCATCATCATCATCATCGTCATCGTCACCATCACCTGCATCAGCAGCAGCATGACTCTCAGCTTTGCCCTCATACCACTATCCTTTTCGTCGTCGTTTTATATTCTCGTCCAGCCGGATCCTGAGAATCATTCGGAGGTCCAACGAGATTCGGTTTGTGAAGGATGATTCTGCTGGTATCCAAGCTGCAAGTTCTCCCAGTGCCCTGAGCCCGCAACCCTTCTTGTCCACGTCCCAATCACCAACCCTACATCGTGAAGCTTTCACCCTGGACCATCTTTCAATTCCCAAGCCTGGCTTCGTGCCCTTGGTGTTCGAGAGTTGAATGAATGAGAGAGCAGAAATACGAAGATTCAGGATTGAGGGTGGCCTCCTGACCCGATTATACGATCTGATGAATCGTATCCGAATCCCAAGATGATGGTCCCAAGTATAATTATCGTGGCACAACAATATTCCCTAAGTCCGCAACGCTAAACACTGAAGCAATAACATACATACTCCAAAACCCCACGTCTAGTCTTTGGGGATCGAGTTCAGAAGGTCGGACGCCCTGAGAGTGCCTGCGTGGGGATGACTGTTCTCTAAGGGGTTGCCATTCGGAGAATTATGGTGGTTCAGTATAGGGGCCATTAGCATCATTAGAATTAAAGACCTAGAGTAATGCTTTGGGGAATCGTTCTTATACTTTGGATGCTCGTCAGCTCCGGGAACTTAAAAAAGCTCACAAGACTGGCCGAACTTCACTTTAGGCCGAGGTCTTGGCATCAGAAGGCTCACAAGGGTGACAGAGCTTCTATTCTAAGTTCTTTGGGCGACAGGCTTGGGGTTGTAAATTCTTGCGTGCATCCTCTCCTTCGTAATTAGTTGCACTCTGACGGCACCGTTTTTGTTTTACAAACTTGGCCCGGCGCAAGGAATGAATCTCAAGCGAAATAAATCGAGGAGACCGCGTGTTTAGGGTGTTCGGGGTTCAGGGTGTGGATGAAGGGTTCGGGCTTCGGGATTTCCAACGGGGCTAATAATTATCGATGCTATTCCTCGGGGGGTTCCCCAAGACTGCTTGTTCCATTTTGTTCTATCCTATACCCCAAGACCCTTTTTTGCTTCTGAAGGGCCCGGTGTTACGGCTTCAGCTGTGGAGAATTTTGGGCTGACCCTAAACCCTAAACCCTAAACCCTAAACCGAAGGGTGGGGGTGAGGGGATTCAGGGCTCGGGGTCTTGCAAGGCACACGGCCTACACCCCAGGCAAGCTACACCCCTCAACCCACCCTAAGCCTTAAAGGCCCTAAAGCTTGCACCTTAAACCCTAAGCCCCCTAAACCCTCAACCCTACCTATAGTCTCCATTGTAGTTCCTTTTTGGGGATGCCTTATAAAATCCTTAATATATAATTGGTTAAACCAAAAAAAGGAACTACAATGGAGACTATAGGTAAGCCCTAAACCTCCAAACCCCAAACCCTAAACCCCAAACCCTAAACCCTAAACCCTAAGCCGTAAACCTCCAAACCCTAAGGCCAAACCCTTCCCAGCTTCAAGAGCAGGGCCCCGAAAGTTTCGGCCTCCTTATCATTCTGGCCTTCTGCTTCGGAGTTTTCCAATGTTTAGGAGTCAGGATGTACGTTTTAGGATTTAGGACCTAAGCTTTAGGGTTTAGGGTTTAGGGTCTAGTTGGGGGTTAGTTTGGGATACTGGATTTAGGTTAGGGTTTAGTGGGCCTTTAAGGTTTTGGAGTTTGGCCTTGTTTCTGAGCCTCAGACCTCAGGATGGGATTCGCAAAGCTTTAAGGGTTTCGAGGTAGTATAGGGTGTCTAAATGTTGCCAATACTACTGTGGGGGTTCTTTATTATGATTACAAATCAATAGTATCATATACCCGCAAAGTGCATTCTAATCATTAAGGCCCATATGTTAGACGGTCCTGAAGAAGAGACCTTACCAACAGGACCTGAACTTGCAAAAGACCATGCCCGTGTAGCAAAGAGCCTTGCTAGATGTTTGTGTCTTATGTTGATCCCCCCGCTCCCGGCGTGTGACCTGTAGTATGTTGCTAGCGTTGCAATTATGACCAGTGGGGCCTTCCTGGTATGGATTCGGAGGTATGATGTCGGGTGCAGCAACTTCATATTTCGTAAAGGAATGCATTATATAACTAGTATAGGGGCCTTATAATAATTAGAATAGGGCTTGGGGGTAGATTAAGTTGTAATCATCAAAGGAACCCCCAAACCCTTATTCTAATTGTTAAGGCCCTACAGTAACTAGTGTTAGCACAGCCGTTCCTTCCAAAGGTGCATCAGAGCTACGACTCAGGCTCCGTAAAGGCCGCACTCCACGTCGAACGCACCAGATCCTCAAACCCACAGAGGCCAGCGGACAAGAGACCCTTCAACCCACATGAGGCCCTGAAGTACAAAAGCACGAAAAGCTAAACCCTAAACCCTACATAGGCCCTACATCTTAGGAGTATTAGGATGTTGTCATTTCATCTTCCTCTCGGAGGATGCTGAAACGAAGCTTTTCGATTCCGCTCGGCGGCGCCGTTCGCGTCACGAGCACCAAGGAATCCTTCGATTGCTGCAGAGAGAGAGTGGGGTTTAGGGTTGAGGGCTCGTTCTGCAGAGCTGGCTTGTCCCTTCCTTCCCCACATAGTTTTTGGATTTCCGGAGCTTTATGTTGTTTGGGATTTTCCTGATAGTGGACATAGCAAGAGGAATGAATGCGCCTTGATTGTTGCTTGCGTTTTTTTGTGCTGCCGGCAGTGGTGCTCAGATGGCGGTGGTGGCGACCAGTGGCAGATTTGTGGGTGTGGCGGTGGTCCTGGTTGGTGTTGTTGCTACTGCTGTTCTGGCCGTTGGTGGCGGGCCAGTCACATTGCTGCTATGGTCACACAAGTGCTGCCCGCACTATCACCAAGCGCTACTACAGCCAAAGGTGTTAACAACTGCAGCCAAAGTTCCCCCAACCTGCCAACTCCAGACACTTCATCCAGACTGTAAACTTGGAGCTGAAATTTTAAACCCGAAGATTTGGGGGATGCTTCTGGTTGAACAAGCTGGCATCGCTAAAACAGCAAGAGAACTGAAAGCTCATGGGGGGTTCCGAAATAGGTGACCTTATATCGTACCCTAAATAATAGGATCCTTATTATAAGGACCCCCAAATAAGGTACCCTAAATAATAGGATCCTTATTATAAGGACCCCCAAATAAAGTACCCTAAACAATAGGATCCTTATTATAAGGACCCCAGAATAAGGTACCCTAAATAATAGGATCCTTATTATAAGGACCCCCTAAATACCAAAATAAGGTACCCTAAATAATAGGATCCTTGTTGTAAGGACCCCCAAAACAAGGTACCCTAAATAATAGGATCCTTGTTGTAAGGACCCCCAAAACAAGGTACCCTAAATAATAGGATCCTTATTGCAAGGACCCCCAAATAAGGTACCCTAAATAATAGGATCCTTATTATAAGGACCCCCAAAACAAGGTACCCTAAATAATAGGATCCTTATTGCAAGGACCCCAAAATAAGGTACCCCTTATTTTCGGAAACTCCCATGTAGGGTTTAGAGTCTAGGCTTTCGGCTCTGGGAACTTCGGATTTAGGGCTCGGGGGGGTGTGGGCGCTGGGGCTAAGGGTTGAAAA